TGTGTGTGTGTGTGTGTGTGTGTGTGTGTGTGTGTGTGTGTGTGTGTGTTTTAAGAAAGGATCTTATTATATAGCCCAGGGTAGCCTGGTATTGCAGGTCTGTACCATCATATATAATTTGAGACTCCATTTCCATAAGTAAGGAAGAAATAATAAAGTAAAGGTGGATGGAAGTTATCATTAAGAAACCAAAAATTAAAACAATTTCAATACTTTTGTCAATTTATGGTACATTTTATCCAAACATTTCAAAATATTTGTACAAAATTCATAAGTCCATTATTGTAGATGACATTTACATGAAATTGGAAAATGACCTTGCAGTAAGTTTGGTACAGAAAAACTCTTGACTTGAACTATATCATACTTTATATTTTGTTGGATATGCAGGTTTCTGGATGAGAATGAGCGCCACTTATTTTGTTAAGAGAAAGGCAGTCCGAGGAAATTCTTGTTGGGTTTCCTGTAACTAGTTTTACCCTGTAAATGGTTTCTTCCCTTCCTCTTCCCATGGGTCCTAGCATAGTCTTATTAATAGAAATATATGATGTTTGTGTTTTTTAAAAAAAAAAAAAGCAGGGTGGTCTTAGATGTCTGTCTTCCATTCTGGCATTTCCCTTTATACAATCCTTTAGAATTTTCTGTTTAACAGCTGGCATTCCAATAGCTTTTCTTTGGCCTAGAGCCTGGGTTACACATTGGAACAGCAAATTAGGAATGTTAAGACATCCTCCAAAGAAGAAAGGTTTGTTATGAAAGTAGAGCTGATATGACACTTAGAGTTAGAGCTTCTTAGCTTGTCTAACTGACAGCTAATGATCGTTCTCCTTTTTTGTTATTATTTTTAGGGGGGAGATTGGATGAAAGAAATGCCCAGAGGCTGATGCTGGGTTTAGTGCACCAAACTGTTAAATGTCAAATGTACTTTACTGATAATACATCTTTTGTTTCTTTTCAGGAGCAAATTTTGTTACTCGAAAAATTAGCCGGTCAGTAGCTAAGATTTACCTTGGACAACTGGAATGTTTCAGTTTGGGAAATCTGGATGCCAAACGAGACTGGGGCCATGCCAAGGACTATGTAGAGGTAGGACCTGACTCATTACATTAAAACTGCCTGCATCAGTTGATACTTTTAATACCAGGCCTGCAGTGAGAAGGTTGACCTAAAAGTGGTCAGACATAAGCTTCTGCTGACACAAATATGGTTAAACATGTTAAACTCCGTTCAAGGCTGCATGGCTCAGGAGCGTAGATTGGGCATGCTGATTCTACTTAACAAAGAAATCCTATTCAAATTTTCTTTTAATTTGATTGAAACAAAAGTGCTGGCCAGTACTTTGATGGATGTGTAAATTGGTGTTTATAGTGTTGGAAGGTTATTATTTGCTCTCTAAAGTTTTAATCAACCTGATTTGTTTCATATTTCCCTCCTTTCCCACCACAACATTCACAATACCACCAGTTCTCATACCTTCAACAAATAATATCCAATCTTGGATTACTTAAACTAAGACCTTTAGCATGCACTCTCTTAAGTTCCTCTCAGAATACTGATGTTATCGAGCTCTAGGTTCCATGCTAAAGGGTTTGCTATAAGCCCACATACTTCTTGCCATTGCACATCACTGAACTTTACCCATCATGGTTCTGTTACAAAATAATATGGTATAGTTAGAAAATTGACTATGGTAAAGTTAAAGGTTTCCACTCTTGGAATTCCTATAAAGTTAAGCCAGCTTTTGTTCACTCAGTTACATGCAAATAGTGCAGTTTTTTTTTTATTTCTTTTAAACAAAATTTGCTTTGCTCTGATTACCATGCTTTTAAACATCCATTGCTGGAGAAGTTGAAACCTTAAATGGAGCCAAATTTTGTAACAATGGACATGTTATTTTCTTAATAATATTCATGGTGTCTAGCATTCTGTTACTCACCTGCATATACTTAGAAATGCTGAGAACACTATTTCTAAATAGTGATTCAGGGATCAAATATACTCAGTTACATTCAATTTATTTTTTTTATTTTGGGCACAAGAGAGAGAGAGGTAGAGACTGACTGACTATATTCAGAACTCAGAAATTCATTAAATTTTGATAGTCACGTAGATGCTCTACCATGTTTTGAAAGCACCTTGTCCAGGTTGCACTTTCTTTTCATTCTTTATCACCATGTCTTTGAGATGAATATATATAAACCTTTATGGTTTATATATGACATTTTGTTTTTGTTTGTTTGTTCATTTGTTTTGTTTTTTGTTTTTTGTTTTTTGAGGCAGGGTTTCTTTGTGTAACAGTCCTTATATCCTGGAACTCACTTGGTAGACGAGGCTGGCCTCGAATCCACTGAGATCTACCTGCTGCTGCCTCCCAAGTGCTCAGATTAAAGGTGTGTGCCACCACCTCCTGGCAGAGAAATGACATTTTAATTAGACAAAAAATTTCAATATAAAACAATGTGAGTGATAATATGCACATAAATGGTGAGAGAAACTTTTAGAACCAGTGGCCCTGTGTCCCTCTCACACTTGAAAGGGTCAAGTACCCCTTCTAGGAGGTACAGCCAGATCTTCACACAAAGGCCTGTTTGTATTCATGTAAAAATTAAAAGCTCATAAACATTTTGGCTTAAGTACTTTTCAAAAGTTGTCTCAAATGAAGTCACAGTTGTAAGTGACAAGTCTGTGTAGTACAATATGCCCCAAAGCCAAAATATGAAAAGATCCACCTGTGATTACGGTGATTAGGTCTTTTAATAAAAAGTGGGAAAGTGTCACATGGCATACAACCCAGTCACTCTCACACAGTAAGGCCCTGTTCTTTTGTTTTTCGAGACAAGTGGTTTTGTATATGGAGGATTCTGGGGTTCCAGCAGTAACATATGTTGCTAATGTAAGAAGCTGTTTTATAGTTCTCATTTATATGTTCTCAAATAAGTCTAAATTACTTGGTTCCTGAAAAAAGAAATGGCAATATTTAAAATATTGTAGTTTTCTGCATTTTATTTAAAGAAGTAGTATCTTTCCTTTGGTTCTAAGCTTATTAAAATGAGATTACTTTAGAGACTTGCAATTACATTTTTTTTTACCAGAAATAAAGGAAACACTCATAAAAGTACAGAGGAGCATGACTTATTAAAGAAACATGTATTTTCTGACAGATGATCAGCTTATTGGCAGGTGTAGAACAAACAGGGCATACTAATATCTCATTTACACATATTGATTGCACACAGTGCCTCTCATTTAAACATAAAACTGTTGGTAAATCTAGAAGTTTTTTATCTAGGTGTGGAGAACAATTGCTCTTCTTGCTTCAACATGGTAGATCCCAACAGTAAGGTGAATTGCTGCTCTGCTCACACCAGTTATACCTCAATTTATTCATCTTTGAAAAGGATGTGACAGCTCTAAAAAATGTTAGCTACAAATTTGTGGATATTATACACACTCTCTTTGTTTCATAAACATTTTATATCAATTTATGCAGTCATTTCTTGTTGCTGAATCTGACTCATTAACATCTACTTACAGTCCTGTTCCCTAGGCTAAAATGCTTTAAGAATAATTTAAGTGGACAAAATACCTTTCAATTTGAAGAACAAATGTTCAAACTGCATTAAATTGTGATCCATTCCAAATGAATAAGTTGTTACAACTTTTCCAATTTCTTTTTATAAACATTTTGAAGTGTGCAGAATGCTGACCTTCCTTATACCATAATTAACATCAAATAATACAGCATTTTAAAAAGTACTGTTTACTAATTGCTGTAGTGCTAATGACCTTCAATTTTGAATCTTAATTTATGTAAAGATAAGATATCAAGATTTCTTATTTCTCATAAAACATAGCTAGATCCCTGAAACTTTCCACGTTTTTATTTTCTTTACTATTTCACTGGTTTGGTGTGACCTACACAGCTTAGGGATTGACCTGACTGGCTGTGAGTCATGAAGAAAGGACAGATACATATACAGAAAATCTGGGAGTGGATGGGCTGTGTGCGCTGATGGAAACACACCAATGGTCCGGAAATTCAGCAAGTTTGTTTTATACATCTATCTAAGTAGAAGAGGCAAGTTTATGGCATTAATAAGGATGCGGGTTATTAATACAGCTGAATGAGGAGGTAGGTTAAGCTAATCTCTCTGTGTGTGTGGGTCTCTGTAGGGAAATAAACTAGGCTATAAATATCTAGAAAGAAGAAGCTGGGGGAAGTTGCAGTTAGCAATTTCCCAGTTAACATTTTCCGCACACACTGTCACCATCTCCATAGACTGGGGAAGGTATGCGTTTCCAATGTGTTTGAAGCATTGGCAGTGCTCATATTCATTTGGGACTTCATCTGTTCCACAAACTGGGCCCATTGTATGTTTTCATGTTTCTTTCCTTTATGAATACTGAAAGAACTCTTGGTGAGTGTGCAGTGTACTGATCGTGGACACTCTGTTCAAGCCAACTCCCATTGTCTGTGCTGTAGCAAAGATGGTGGAATATAGTCAAAGAAGGAGCCTTTGAGTTAATTTCCTTCAACATAGACTCATTGAGAAATGCCATGCTCCCCTCCCTTCCTCCTTCCTCCTCTTCAATCTTCTCCCATGGCCCCCATGTTCCCAATTTACTCAGTAGATCTTGTCTTTTTCTACTTCCCATGTAGATTAGATCCATGTGTGTCTCTCTTAGGGTCATCATTGTTGTCTAGTTTCTCTGTGATTGTGATTTGTAGGCTGATTTTCTTTGCTTTATGTCTAAAAACTACTTATTAGTGTGTATATATGATATTTGTCTTTCTGGGTTTGGGTTACCCCACTAAATATGATGTTTTCTAGATCCATCTATTTGCCTGCACATTTCAAGATGTCATTTTTTCTGCTGTGTAGTGCTCCATTGTGTAAATGTACCACATTTTTCTTATCCATTCTTTAGTTGAGGGACATTTAGTTTGTTTCCAGGTCTGACTATGACAAACAATACTGCTATGAACATAGTTGAGCACATATCCTTGTGGTACGATTGAACATCCTTTGGGTATATACCCAAAACTGTAAACCATTATTCTCATCTATGTTTAGCCATGTGGCTTAGTACCTTACTCAGTGAAGCATTCGTATCTTGCTTTCTCTGCATCTTGCTGGTGATTGCAGACTTAGCCTTTCCTCTTCCCAGAATTCTTCTAGTCTGGTCGCCCTGCCTATGTTTTCTGCCTGGCTACTAGCAAATCAACATTTTACAAGAGACAAATCTTTACAGGGTACAAAAACATTATCACAAAGCCCATCTGCACAGATATAGAGATACATTTGAACATACATACACACTTACCATATACAAATACAGATGCATTAAAATCTTTAAAGAGCAGTTCTTGAAGTATGTGTCTGGGTGTACATGTATACTCATGTGAGTATAAGGAGATAGAAAAGCACATGCAGATTCTTGTAGTCATAGAACCTATGGATAGGGATTAGGAAACTATAAATGACATTTATAGTTCTTATGAGCAGCATTTAACATTACTTGTTCTCTGCCCTCTAGCCATTCCCATTGATGAGACAAGTTGACATACCATTACACATAGGCCTGACCTATTATACTAAAGAAAACTGTGGTTCTTGTCCTCAAGATTAATCTCCAGGCAAAATGTAAATGTTCTTTTCATACTTAGATGATACAGTCACATCTTCTGTATAAAGATTTCTCTGCCTCCTCTTCCCATTCACCTGCCTTCCACCTTCATTTTTGTATATAGGCCTTCAACAACCCTCTAGGTCCCCTACTCTCAGCTTCATTCACATGATATCTACTTTTTCCCATGAATGAATGAAAGCTCTTTAATTTTAATATCAAGATTATTTGTACAGTGTAGATGGAATATCCTCATTACATAGGATACCACCTAAGCTCGCAGATAGTTTTGCAAATATAACCTAATATTAGTATTCAGTGCTTCACTTTTACACTAGTGCATTGTGGAAAGGGAATTGATTTGCAATCAATTCTGTCTTTTATATTCATGATCTGTATACATACAAATACTATAAATGTGTCTCTCCAAATTTCTCTTCTCTCTGCTCTCTTTCATT